CAATGCACTCGAGTATGAAAGCTGTTGGTGAGGATTTGATTTTGAGTGTATCTGTTTGAGGCAATTGTGGTGACAATACTGAGAATCAAATTTGAGTGTTAAAGATTTCCAATCACATACAGGGTTATGTAATTTTAACCATGGTAAACCAAGGATAATTGGATTACTTTTACTTCGTGTTGTAACAAAGAAAACTAGAATCTCTGAGTAAAAGCCAATATGTAAATGGAAAGTAAAATATTGGGTTATGAAAGCTTGTGTTGTGCCATCAGCTAAGTGAACAGTACGTGGAGTGAAGAGGGGCTTTGTTTTAATCCCAAACTGCTCCACAATAGAATCGTAATCTGCAAATGCCATGGCAGTGGAGCCACTATCAATTAAACTAGTTGTGCAAAACATCACTGGATTTTGGTTGCGCGGGTCAGAAAGAGAAGAGTCAAGTAACATTGAATTTCTAGAACTCGTAGAGCATAGCTCCAAAGTAGAACTATCTTGCAAAATACGTTGGAGAGCCTCATCTTTTTCCTGATACCAATTATACCTCTGGCAGCGACTTATGCCAAGGGTTGATCTTTTAAATCGTCGAATTGTTCAGATGTCGATGGATAAACATCGGAAATTCCAGTTTTTGTGTCATTTCCGGAAGTATGGTCATCATAGGTTGCGCGAAGATTGGTCTGAGTTGGAGCCTGAAAGTACTGAGTGTTAGAATTATGAGGATATGGAGGATTAAATAGCGGGGGAAATTGATTATTAAAATACTGCATATAGGGGTAGTAACTTGCAGAAAATGGTGCAAGTTGGTGATATTTTGCTGATTTTTTACCTGCCCAGGGAAATTTCGATTGGAGGAGAAGCTTGATGGACGCTTAGGTATAGGAATAGGGTTAATTTTACGGTGATGATCTTTTGATGTATGCCCCTTTTCCCCACAAGCAACACATAGACCATTATCCATACGGAATTTTCGTTCTGTACCTGACAATTTGACCCGGCTTAAATCCATTGGGTCTCCAATATCGGATGGTCCCCAGTCAGATGATGATTTGTTGAGCTTTGAGGTGATTGTAACCTAAAAATATGCTCCTATTGTTGAAGGTTACGAGCAATACAGCCTACCATATCACTCCAGCCTAAAAAGTCGTCTGGTCCAGGAAGATTAACTTGATTATCAACTACATTACTAATTTTTCGATTTAGCCGTTTTCTTAGCATATCCACCTTAGTCCGATCGTCATATTTAGCCCTTTAAGCATAATGGTCAAAGTCCGCCTTGAAGTCTCCGTACTGACGCTTTTCTTGAAACAGCGTATCCAAGGCATTTCTAGCTATCTGGGAGGTGTCGAGGAGTATGTAACGCTTATCTAGAATATGCCATAAATCCCTAATAGATATTCATGGCCAGTTCTCAGGTTCACTTGGGTGTAAATTCATTGCCTGGACTCCATCTTTTACTGCCTCCCAGGCTCTCCCGGACAGTTGGCTTGTCACATAAGATATTCGATAAAAAGAGCCAGGGAAACAATCTCTATCTATCAACAAAATTTACTGAATGCGTGTTTTCCAACTTTCGTAAGCTAACTGTCGCTTCTCTGTACTTTGCTGTAATGCAGAGAACTTATCTGGAACAGACCTGGTTCGACGGGATCTAGCATCTACGGAATCGGAGGTTTTGGTAGGCTTTAAATTCGAATTATCTCGAGCACGTTGTATATTTTTCTCATCTTTAAGTGCAGAAATTTTATCATTTAATTCTGCAATATTGTTGTTATCTGCAGAGCGATACAAATTGGCTTTTGGTAGTTCTGAGTTTAGAGATACAACTTGTTGTAGACTCGCATTTAACTGCTGGGAGTAAGACTGCTCCAAATTTATAATTTGTCGGTGGGCATTCGCTAGATTTGAATTTAGCTCAGTAACTTGCTGTTGCGTCTTGGTGAGAGCTGATTCAGTTCCCGTGAGCTTAAAATTACTCGACTTTAATTGTTCTTGTAAGTTACCAAACTTTGTATTGAAGCATTAAAGTAAACTGCAGAACATTTTCTTCTAGGGGGACTCGGTAGTAGATGCAATGGTCGTTAGTAAATCTGTGGGATTCGAATCTTCTGGGAAGTAATGACCTTCAATGGCAGCGCTCAAATTCGGCCAACTCTGCTGGAAAGCAGTGGTAATTTGAGTGACTCTGGGGTTGGTAGTAATGGTGAGTTTGTACAGTATTTTTGCTTTGATGAGAATGTATATATAGATAAAACCAAAAAAAAAAATCAGATTGAAACAGGAGATGTCTTTGGGTTATATGCCGGGTCGCAGACAGGGTTCAGAAGTATGATTTTGCTTTTAATATTGGATCTAAATGCGACGGGGCACAATTTAAGATCGCAAAAAGTGTCACGGTGGGTTAGAGGTCAGGTTCTGGTAGTTTATGAAAATAACTGCGTTGTGCGATAGAAAGGGAAGATTGTCTACAGAAGGGATCTATAATAATATCCTAGTGTACGGCGCTAGCTCTTGGTCCCGTGACAGCACTATACCCTTCAATCTGTAAATCTCCTTGCCAAAGTTGGAAATATCACACCCGTCGAGATTGTATCCTTCCTTTGCATCATCTTAAAATTTTGTCCTAATCTTTATAACGTCGTCTCAAGGACCCTCATCCCAAATTTATGCTTGAAAATTTTTGTCCCCCTATGGGTATTCCTATCCTCGCGGGCGCATATTTAGCGACCAGATGAGGGCAATGAATAGTTGATTAGAGGTGCGGTCATTGAATGAGGATGTACTTGGTCGTACTTGCAGACTTGATGAGACTTTGATAGTATTCAATCTCGTGAGTGCGAGATTGATTAGAGTCACGGGTTTACCCGCTACTGGTTGTGTGGGGTGACCTGCGTGCCCAGCCTTGCATTTAATTCGGACGTAGCGAAAGGCCAGCCTTTTGCACGACCAAGTTCTCCCTACAGTGCTTATGTAAGGTAATCATCGGGGCGCACTTTGTGTCTATACGATCCAGTTGTAGACATCTCTCCCATAGAAGAATATTAATTATTTATGGTATTGCTTGCGTGCGCTGACCGTCTGCTTCAGCCCTTCACAATTAGGTGGAGAGTCTTGAATCATCGCATCGTGGGTCAACTTCTTTGATATTGCGAAATTTGACTGAACTTGGCTCTGAGATAATATTTCACTCCCAGGTTCGTAGAGGACACCGCGTACAGAAATTCAGTCTTGCCCTACGCAACTAACCCCTATTCGTACGAAATAAGTGTTGAAATTTTGTTGGTGTTATGATCTGAGGATAGCAGAGAATGATTTATGGATATCTTCGTGAACAATATGAAAGGCTCATTAAAAGTAGTCTAGGTGTGGTACGCTGTATATCAAGCAGAAACACACAGGGATCTTTTCTGTTCATTCTTATCTTCCAGTACATAATAGAGTGTGATGCATTTCTACTTGTATCAATAATAAATATGATATAAGCTTGGATTTTCTAGACCACACTCCATTTACACAAGAGTAACCGAGTCAGTATAATCTCCTCGGTGAACTCATATCGTAATACTTGGCTCTATGCCCTGAAACTCAATTTTTTCCTTTGACCTATAAGTTTGAGACAACTAAGCGTTGTGTGCTGTACATTTTGCCGTTCCTTTCCACAGAGATCGCACACATTATTGTGTACCCTCCTTACCATGTGCAGCTAGACCCGCGTTTTCGCCAATCCAGCTTCTGTCTTATTGTTGTATCCTTAGAACTTGAAAAGCTGTGAAGGCTGGGATGGTCTGTCTGGGCCTGTAGCCCACATTATTTGCAAGGTTATTCTGCCTTTCGGCTTTCCTCCATCTGCCATGTCTCCAGGCTTGGTGTCTAGACTTCGCATTGCTAGGATCACAGATTGATTTGAGGTTTTTTCCCGCGCACACAATGTACATCTCTATCTTTTTCGAGTGGGTGTTTCTATACAAAATGAGAATGGACTTTACAGTTAAACATCGAGCAAAGTGGTTATCCATCATGGGCTTCATACCGAACATAATTTTTTTTCGTAGTCAAGGGCATAGGAGTTCTACAGAGATCGTGGCCTAGGTTGGAGATGAGACCAGTATACTAGATCTTCATTGACTCAAGTACCGCGATGTGAATCAGCTAAAATGGCAATATTGGGAGGTAATCTATGTAAAGTTCGGATAAATTTTTTACGAATTTAGAATTCACAAAAAGGAAAAATTAATGCGCAGTGCAAGAACCACCAACTCCGAGTGACTTCAACTAGATGGATTATCTGGATATGCGTTTTCGCCACCTTGTAGGTATCATTTATCCTTGTGGTAGTGCCGTTATTGCTGAATTTTCCTAATACTCTAACGTTCAGTTTGTTTAGTTTCACAGACTCTATTTACAAATAATTGCATAAACTTATTGACTTGGGCCTCAACAAGTTCAGTGGGGATCAGGGAAGCTACAAAATGGTGGGATGCTTTAAAAGTACTCTTTTTATTTTTAGCTGATTAAATATTCTGGTGAAGAGTGGTAGAATTTGGATGGGTCACGACTTCAACCGGGTGTCTAGCTGATGACCAGATTCCTAGCATTCAGGAGATACTTTGCAGCCTTGATAAAGCGACGATCTAAGCATTTCGAATCCTCGTCAAGCAAAATTCGCTGGCAGCTTGTGTCAAATTACCATAGACATTAGTTAACATCTGGGCGTCTTAGTGTAAGAGTGATGTTTGGTAATGTTAGACTTGTTTGTCTCCTTGTTCTCGAGGACTGCATATTTTCGGAATACTTATAGGATCAGCTTTATCCTTCGCGGAATTATTCGAAGCGCTTTAGATCGAGTATTTAGTCTTGATATAAGAACTTAAATGTATTTAATCGGAAGGGTTTCAGGATTGTCCGGAAAGAAAGATCTAGACGTTGTTTTTTGGTATAAATCTGAAGATATCAACTGGTATTGAATCGGCAGATGAATGCCATGGAAAAAGGGAACTAACCGCTTACGATCGTTCTATTGGATGGTCATCATGCATCTGTCGGATGTTTAGGTTAATTCGTTTGTTTTTCATCCATCCTCTCCAATATGGAAACTCTTCGCCGGGCCACTCTTCCAGAAACGAGGGGCAGGTTCCCTCAATAATCCGAGGAACTCCATGCCAGGCAAGCCTTGATTCACCTGTCATGAATAGCACATCACCAGAATGTAATAGTAATACTTTAGATCTAGTCTTTCCCGTCTTGTTATCGTGTAGCCCAATTATAAAATAGGCATCGCAGCCAAGGCTGACACTGACGAGGCCGCGGTAGACTTCTTCACTGACATCTCTATGTAGGCACAGGGTATCTCCCGGAGAATATACATTTATAATTGCAGCCTGCGGTGTTACAGCGGGAAAGAGGCTGCCTATTAATCGAGCTATGTCCGGAGGGAATTCAGGTGGCACCTCTGGTGGATATTTCTTGCTTGTCCAGTCATATTGACCACCAAGAGTTATCCAGCGAAGCTTTCGCTGTAAGACTTTACCGCAATCCAAGCTCTGGGTGGTCTTTCCGTTCTTCGCCGTGAATCTTACATTTGATGGCCTTTCAGAAAAGAAAGATTTTTTATCCGGGGGATAAGATACATCGTAATGTAGATGGAGATTTGTCTTATGCTTAGGATTCGAGAGATCCCGATGTAACAACCTCGAAAGAAGCTCTTTTTGAATTGCAGGGGTAAAAAGTGACGGTGCCACTATGAGTCCTGGGATGTTTTAGATTTTTACTAAAAGTAAGGTTTCGGAAATGGACCTTTTGAACTAGAGCGTAATGCTGGCTATTGAATAATAAGTCCTTACCTGGTATGTCTGGGTCGCGATAAATTTTGCCATGTTTCGCGTCGACAATTGATGAGTCCCCGCTCTCATGGCAAAATTCATGCAAAGTTGCCTGAAGACAAGCCGGGGAAATCTCTGAGACCAGTTCAGACTCAAAGCAATATTTAAATTCAGTTCTATTCCTCAGTTCCAAAGAATCGGATCGGGGACGCCAGGACTTAAATAACTCTTTGAGCGCCTGGGGAGGAGCTTCGAGGGGGTTCAAGATTGTCGTGAGGTTTGGTTGTGTGTGCAGTATCTTGTTTAGAGATTGCATATTTCCGCGCGAGCTAGATTCCTTCCTTTATTCTTGACGATTTAGAGCCTGGACTATGAATATGATTGATCTAGTCATTTCTAGCGAGCGGAGTTAAACGGGTCAGTCGTCGCCGGGCTGTTGCACGGTACCTTTATTTACTTTGATAATTGAACACGCTCACAAACACGTTTTTTTTCGTCAATAAAAAGATCTGGCTCGCCTCAGAAACCCTCTACTTGTACGACTCAGTTCGATGCTGCGGCCCCCTCTGTGAAATTCTAGCCCGTCTCCCTCCACCTTCCCACATTACAGAGAGCGAAAACCAACTGCCTTGTTACTCCTCTACACTCATTTGACTCGCCCCTCAAAATATAACTTAACATGGAAAACTACCAAAAGTTGGAAAAGATTGGCGAAGGTATGTAACTTGCATCAGAGATGCGCTTCAAAACTTCATAATTTTGCCTCTCCCATTGAGAAGTCGCGCTCACGTTTCGTATACAGGAACATACGGTGTCGTTTACAAGGCCCGCGATCTTACACATCACAGCCGTATAGTTGCGCTAAAAAAGATACGACTCGAAGCTGAAGATGAAGGGGTTCCTAGCACGGCAATTCGTGAGATATCACTCCTCAAAGAGATGAATGACCCAAATATCGTTCGACTTCTCAATATTGTTCATGCGGACGGTCACAAGCTCTACTTAGTCTTTGAATTCTTAGACCTTGACTTAAAGAAATACATGGAGGCTCTTCCTGTTAGCGATGGTGGCAGAGGAAAGGCTTTGCCTGCGGGTGCTGGACCAGATCTAGGACGACTCGGCCTTGGCGATGCGATGGTCAAAAAGTTCATGAGCCAACTATGTGAAGGCGTCAGATACTGCCATTGTCATCGTGTCCTTCATCGAGACCTGAAACCTCAGAATTTATTGATTGATCGAGAAGGTAATCTTAAGCTTGCCGATTTTGGACTAGCCCGTGCTTTTGGTGTTCCCCTCAGAACCTACACACACGAAGTTGTTACTCTCTGGTATCGATCGCCTGAGATACTTCTCGGAGGGCGCCAATATTCAACAGGAGTTGACATGTGGTCAGTGGGCTGTATCTTTGCCGAGATGTGTACCCGAAAGCCCCTCTTTCCAGGAGATTCTGAAATAGATGAGATATTCAGGATTTTTCGGTGCAACCCCCTCTTCCTCGCCGAGTTTTTATAACTAACTAATAATAGTCTACTTGGAACCCCTACAGAGGCCGACTGGCCAGGGGTCATGGACAAGACTTGCTTTCCCGACTTCAAGTCTTCCTTTCCTAAGTGGGTACGCAACGAATCGCAGCCACTATGCGAAGGCTTAGATGAAAAGGGCCTCGATCTTCTCGATCAAATGCTTGTCTATGATCCTGCTGGCCGTATCTCAGCTAAGCAAGCCTGTCAACATCCGTACTTTGAGGACGGTAGCTCAGCCTACTCTGGTCGTGGCTACGGTCCTACCGCCAGACCTAATGTAAATGGCTTCCATTGAAGTTTAGACCTAACTAATGATCGACAAATCACAATGTCTAACGGGACATCAACAAATTAGACCAACCACATACCTCAATCAACTAGAGTTTGGATACCACTGGAAAGCATTTACATCGGTCTTTTATTACTGCATTAAAAAATGACAGTATACTTTGTTGGAAGCGGTCTCTATCCCTCACTGTAATGTGGTTGAAGCATTTACGAGAAAAGGAATTGTAGGGATGTAGGTGAAACGCGGGCGTTGACATTCTGCATGCAAGTACGACGCTCCTGTAATGATTCGATTAGTATTAACATACGCATTGGACATTTCATCGGATTAATTTTATTGTATGAATAGATGACTGCCCACCACTCATGATCGGTTGTTATGGCAGATAAGACCGATAGCGTCGTTTAATAACTACATACTTTTAAGATATAAAGTTTTCCATGCTCCACAGGTAAATTTTTGTCAATTAATAGGTTTGGACATGCTGTTACTATCAATCCTCAATCATCGAACTCTTTGCACCGCTCTTGATACCCCCAATGAAACTGTACGTCCCTTGCAATGTCGTTATCGTTTTCCTTAGGCTATGCCTATTTAAGGTGGATAAATTCCTGTTATGATGCGGCTCACGCAACATATTGTGGCCCGAACGGATGTCTTACGTTGATGTTGGCGCCATGGCTTTATAAAGCTATATATTACTGATCTGGTTGCGGCTGTTTGTTCTCCTGGCCTCCGTTAGCTATGCTTCCTGTTGGAGCCGCGGAGCTCGCCGATTCTGCATATTGTGGTTGATCTTGCCGCGAGGCTTGCCATCGAACGTATTTGAAACTAGCAAGGCCAACAAGTACAAGTATTGCGAACACTACGATAACGACAATAGCTATCGCATCGTTCTGTTTTACCATCTCTTCTGAGGTGATTTGCCAGAGCGGGACTTTGGTCCACAATAGAGTGATATGGTCGCAAGATGTCGAGGATGAGTTGATAAATTCTCGTGCTTTCTTAGAGGTGGGGAGTTTGGTAGAAAGTTTAGAAGACTACAATTTTGTTAATAGATTCTTTTTCGGAGGATCAAGCGCACTTGTTTCCAAGATACCTCTTCAGTGTAGAAGTCACCAGCTCCCGTGAGCGATGGGAGCTTTTTAATATATAGCTCTTACGATCTTAATCTCCTGACCTCATTGACAATATTGCTGTGTAAAAGTTTATATATATATATTTATAGAGAAATAATGAAATATCGTGTACTTATTTACACGCCTGAGATGCAGACGGTATGGAATTTGTATGAATTCGACGCGTCACTGTGACCAATAGATGAGTGTAACGATTGATGTGATGTTCACACGTGCTGGTCTGGGGTTCAGAAAGTGATGCGTCTCTCCTCCTCTTTCGTGTTGTCCTGCCATTTGTCTTGGCTGTTATCGTGCAGATACAGGGGAGCTTGGTGACTGGTGTTATTGTCATGGATACAACCGACCAGCCGATAGAGTCTGGCACTCGCACGGCACATGGGATGAAATTGGTGACGACCAGTAAGCGTGTTCCTTCACCGTGAGGCAAGCCAGTGGCCTTGGGCTACGAAACGTCCCTCAATCCTAGGCAGGAGATGGAGGGGAGTGGTTGAGCTAATCTCGTTGATAGGCCAACCTTCGCGAACTGCTCGCGCTGGCCTGGTTGATCCGAGGTCCTCGGCGACAACCATGGCGACACCCGCTATCGCTCTTCTGGAAGATCTGATCGTCTTGGCACAATCTCCGGCCAGAGCGTTGGATCTGGCGACTCGGCCGTGCTAGCCACGAAAATCCTACGCTCTGCACGCAAGCTGTGGACAGTGGCAGGCTCAAAAGGCAGGAGGAGCGGGATGCCGATACATCACCAGCCCATGTCCCGGACGCGAGCTTCCAAGCCACCAGCCAGGCTAGAAGGGCTTTCTCCATAAATATTGCGCCATGCCAGTAGACGGCCCGTGACATCAGCCATTCAGACTTGGACAGAGCACACGCCCCACTTAAGGTGGCATAATTAATTCCTTCTTATCCAGATCTGCAGAGCAATATGCTAACACGGTTACTGCGTTCAAACCTCACGAAGGTTTTGAGGTAAATTTTTTCGAACCAAGCCCTAATCGCTCTAGACGACAAGCTTTGCATTACCATGAAGCAATGGCCGTAATCCTTTGGAGAGCAAAAGTTTATTGGATCGTGATATGCTGATTGTCCCAATGACTGTCTAACTCATGAGGTCTGTCAAGTAGATTTTGGATGGGCCGAATACCTTCACGCATGAGACAGAAGATTGCAGGTTTTAATCCAACTAGATCCCATCCCATTTCTCAGGGTGCCCCTCCTAAATTCATATGTATTTAGCCATGTAGCTATTACATCTAATCTATTCTTTGAAGCTACATATTTTTCTCATTGAGGCGACGGCGTATCCAGCTTCCCTCAATAAATTATTCCAATTTATTCATTTGTATACTATTAATGGCCTTCAAAATCTAAAGCTATCACTCTCAACATAAACGAGTATTAAGTGATATAGGAAACGACCGAGACACAATGCCATTAATTTCCTTTATTCTTTCCATTTGAATCTTGGACGATGATAAGATTTGAAGCTTCCTTTGAGAGGGTACCCACGGGGTAATATGGACAGTGCTGCGTAAGCAAGTGTTTGTTAACTTGATCTTTGCATATTTTATATAGATAGAGAGAAGTCTTGTTTAAACTACCACACGTCTTGCCGGTGCACAACGCTAGATTCAGAGGGCCAAGTGCTTGCAAACTCACTTGATGTAAACCGCCCGGCGTGCCAAAACCCCAAAATGAGCCCGGCAATTTAAAAGGCGAGGCCCAGCCTCTGCTCAGCGCCTCGGAGCGTATGATACTCAACACCTGTCATTGGTGTCCCCTACGAACCTCCAGCTCTCACTGTAGAGTCAGCAGAGCCGAAATTGAGTATTACCTCTTCAATTTTAAGCTGCGTCATCTCCCCCTCCGTCAAAGATACGCTTCCGATAACACATAAGACGACAAAGACGACAAAGACGACGATAATGATGCTTGGAATGAGAAAAGATAATGCGGTACCAAACGCTACAACAGTAGTCAGAGAAGCCCTCGTTATATTACAACATGTGCCACCCACAGGCGAGTGAACAAAAAGCCCACGAAAGCCAAGTAAAAGACCCTTCCGCTCTCAAGAAAAGCAGATTTCGACTCGTCTACAATATCGTCCCTACTAATCCTGACTTCCGGATCTACTAGCCAGGAGGGCATCTGAAATACATGAATTACTCGACAACCCCGCATTCTTCATGACTTTTTGAAGCTCGGCAAGGCTCCTTCACGGCAGTCACTACGACCAAAACATTTCTGACATATTTTCACGACTTCCGGTTTGACCTGCGACATGAATTATGGGAGGATTAAGGAGGAGGCTAGGAAGGTTGAGAGACGCTCTTAGGTATACACAGATCTGCTGCGCCCGGCTGGCCGGCCTCTTCGTCATAGGAGAGCCCCGCACCCAGTGGTTTTTGAGACTTTTTCCTGCAGCTGCCATACACCCGCAAATTACCATCGATTCGTTAGCTGGAGAGGGGAGATAATGAAGGGCAAAGGGCTCCTCTTAGTGTGTTATTGAATGAGGACTTGTGAGGGGTAGCACTGTTTGAGGTAAGCTATATGAGAGGCATAGGAGGGGATATACTACTGGCATAGGTATCCTTGGTCTATAAGCAGAAAGAACCTACATGTCCTTCCATAGTCATAGACTCGTTGGGAACATAAAACTGACTCACTTGACGCCTCGGAAATTTACTAGAATGAAGTAATGACAGCCTATGCCAGCTTCCTTGGTATTAAATCGTGAGGCCTATATTCCAACCACTTCAAAGCTTCTATGGCCCAGTGCTTCTCCCATCTTTCCCTGCAAGCTTTGATTGCTCCATAGATCTAGTGTCTCAATTCAAATGAGTCGTGCAACACAAACTCAAGACACTGATCGTGTTTCATAGCGGCATAGCTGCATGCACATTAAACGATTCAAAAAATTGATGTCTGGGCTAAAGAGTCTCAGTAAGCCGAAATCTCATAGTCGGCACATCTAGCGCTGTATCCACGTCATCAAGTTAGTTGTAATTTGAGCATAGAGAAATTCGACTTGGTAGAAAACTGATGTAAATACAGGTAACAGCTATTTGAACACCATCCACACCTCATTTAGCCCATGCTTCGTTACTGAGTTTTAGTAAATTATTTTGCCACTGGAATTTTTAAGCTTACTGAGGCATCATACTTGACTATCGAATTCCGCCACTTGAATTCCTTCTCGGCTCCCGATTAATACGATGCATAATCATCTGATACAAGGTACTAAAGAACACTCCCCTTCTGCGCTCTAACCTCTGCCTGGCCACCAGCTACATCAAGCCACGGTCGAACTGTAAAATGAGGCATGTGTAATAATGCCAAACAATCAACGTTTGTCCATGATAATCTACCAAAGGGAAGTCCGAAAGGCTTTGCATGTTCGAGCATGCCTTGGTTATTTTCTACACGAGACTTTATTAATCATTCTCGGTCCAATACTACACGTAACATGTAGGTTCTTTCTACCTGTAGGCAAGAGATATCTAGATTACTTGTAGTTTATCCCCATCCTCTGCAACCTCTACAGCTTTTCACTAAGAGAGGGATCACAAAGTTCCTTCGATCGCATAATCTGAAGATCCTTTTCCGCTTCGTGTCTTCCCTCTCCCGCTGATTAAATAAGACCCACTTGCGTCTGTACGACATCTAGGAAATTTTGTAAAAATCTATTAGTATCTAGCTCCCCTACCACTAATGTGGACCAATTCCGAGGATATTGCTACCATTCTAAAGTGCTACAAATCGCTGTTTGTGCATCCGGGTCATTTATTGCCTTTTAACCTCTTCTTCACTTCTTTACTGGTTTGCGCCTCAAGAGAGATCGAGAATCCTGTTGATTAGACGCCAAAGCCTTGACAGGCGAGAATGGTAGATTTAATTTAGCTTTTGAATTCTTCTTGAGTCCAGGAATAGAGAAGGCTAGTCTTTCTCGGAAGCCTACGAATGTGAGACAATAATATAATTTTCGAACCTAAACCTATCCCGCCGCTGTACTTGCTGATCCCACTTGAGGCAAAATCAATGCCTTCAATTCTTCCCTCGAACTTGGATATTCGCTGAAGAAGAAAGAGATATGAAGTCTTGGACTTCCACGCTTGTTAAAAATTCATTATTCATAGTCGCCATAATAAATGAACCCCCACAGCATGTCTACTCTAAGTAGAATAGGCATGGCATCTAGTCGGGCTTTGCTTCGCCGAACAGGTTCCTCAACTGTTTTTGGAGTATTGCCTACAGTCTCCCAAGGGAAGACGAGATACGTACGATGCTCAATGATGCTGAAAACTCCTTACTAAATTAAAGATCTCGTCCGGTCCTGTGTTACATCCATCTGAAGCGTTAGATGGATAGGCTTTCTTCTCATTTCTCACACCTCGTCCGTGGACATACTTCGGGTGATTTTTACGCCGTGTTTGAAATTCTATTGCGCATTTCTCTAGCGCCGAAGTCATGTATTCGAAAGTAAATTGAAAACAGGCGGGGTTTGATCATAGAGACGGTAATGTACAAGGTCATGCTTGCAGTAGTATTGGGGCTATTTGTTGATTTCAGCCTATCAGAAGTACAGATCTCAACCAGATATTATGAATTATCTCCTTGTGAGACAACTCGGGCTTTGGTGCAGCATTGAACTTCGTCTCGGTCCACCCAACACATTCAGCCCCTAGTTCTGCAGGAGATACCACTAACAGATGTAGGTTCTCCTCTCTATTCGCACAGTTTTACCACGTCAGGTCAGATGAACTTTTATGACTCATTGATGATTAGCAAGCTCGTAAGAAATCTCGGCTTCATTTTATCTACAGGGCAGTTAATTAGAAGATTTCTTGAAACTTCTACCTATCAAAGTGGTTACGTGATACGATATCACATTTAGCTCCTCTAGCTCGACTAGCTCTTTCCAGTGGTTAAGGGAGTGCTTTAAGCAGGCCACAATCGACTGGGCTCGTCGCAACTTTTCCGCTAAAAGATTTCTGACAAGCTCTCAACCAAAACTAAGCTTCCCTTTTATCCCGTTAATGGGGGAGAAAAACTAAACTTCTACCAGGATACTGTGCCCCGCTTCTCCGGGAAGCGCGAGAAACATAAGGGCCAGGATGATTCGTAAGGCAGGTGTCAAGGTCTGTCAAAGTCATATCCCTCAACTCTCGCAGGTGTGGTAAGGCTCGCTAGCATCGCTGGGCCTAATCAAATTTGTCATTTTCCCCGGTCCTTCACCCTAGCCAACACTTTCCGTCTGCACAACTTGGGACTCCATGTCACTTCTGGGGTCTACAGCCGTTACAGAGAATTCAACTGAGATTTAAATGGAGCGAGAGCGACACCCTGTGGACCCGTGCAGGCCTATTGAAGTCCCACATTTAGGCAGGGAAAATGCTAGTGGCAAGATACTACTTTCATTCCCTGGCCTCCAGTCCCGCAGCTCTATCCCATTTCGCATTCGCCTTGGGAGTGCAGATAGGCCGATATATTAAGTGGGAATTGTGTTAAGCCCTAAAATTCATTGTCTCTAACTATTCAAGAATGAGCTGGCAATCTCAGGCTTTGCACCTTTCGTTTACACTCACAGAGACTTTCAATAGCTCTTCGAGCCGATCAATGAAAATTACGACAATACGGTCCACCCAGAAAAAAGTGATTTGTTGCTATGTTAAGTGGGCCAGACTGCACAATGTCTAGCGCCAAGGTCAATTAGTGCAGTAATGCAACGCCTGCGATGATCTTCCTGGCAGTGTCTGCATATCTTAAAATCTTGAGCTATTATATAGTGGATGGTCACGATCAAGTGCCACGGTCTCACGAAGCTGGACATATTTCGCAGTGGTGTTTACAGATTAAGTGTAGAGCCTAGTACTTGACGCTATTATGTCTTTGTTGCACGACGAGGAACTGTGATCACATTCTAAAGCTGAGTAACTCCAGATATAGACTATCAATACAGAATAAACGCATGTATGTCAGAACTCACCCGCCAGGACACTGTCTAACATTACCATCCGTACCGGCTCTACTGTGCATGGAATAATGTTGTTCAAGCGCCCAACTTCTGTAGCGGCTTGTTCCTGTCCACCATTGTGACTTTCTATAGAGCCACACAGGTAGGATACGTACCATTGTACCTAGTTATATGCCAGTCAGTGGCGCCCATTCACTAATGTCATTCTGAAAGGGACATCTTTGACTACAGACTGCAATGCACGGTTCCCTGATAGTTTACTCGCAATTAGTGATGAGGGGATCCAGTTAACTTAATTATAGTTACCATATTATTTCAAGTGATGACTTTTTGAACATGTAGTTCTCCTCTTCGAACGGGCCAAGGAAACCTTTGCCGCCTTCACATCATCTGAACAGTTGTACCGCCACAGGTCTTGACCCTCAATATCTATGAGAATAAACTTTGGCATATTTCAAAATTAAAATTTCTAAAATGTAATTAGAGTCTTTAGTTAGATTCAAAGTCCTATACAGTCTTAGACTCAGTAGGGACTACAATGAAAATCTAAAAATCTAAATGGTATCGCCTCCTACAAATCTTCGTTTGATCATTCTCTTTGATATGTCTATTACTTTTCACTCTCTATCCTCTCCGACCAACCATATGAACTTCAATGCGCATGTACGACAGCTAGGAAAACTTGCAATTACTGCTGGATGCCAAGCTCTTATCAAACAGACATAGGATCAAGTCCGAAGAATTTGTTACACTGAAATTTTGGAAGTGGCCGGCCAGCCGGGCCTTACGTAATTGTGTGTATCAATGAGAAGCGTTTTGTCTTCCTAACCTCCATTCGACGACGCCCATATTTCACGCATCAAGAAAAATTAGAGGCTGTGATGAGGTGGTTGGAAATTCTTGGCAGGAAGTAGATGCGTTATCGTAGAGTAGTTCGACTTGTTCGTGGCTTTTTCAGTGGTGGGAAACGCGATAGCTTAGATGACGATAGATAGTCTTCTAGTTTATACCGGGCTCGAACTCGACACGACAGACTCTACAATGATAGCTGTAGATTCACAGGGAGCACCGCTGATAGAAATTGGGTATTAGTCCTCCTAGCTGGTATTCCAAGATTGCAAAGTTCCCATTCCTTTCCCGTTCTTAGACTGTTATAACCAGCTTGCCTTATTCAGGAACTTGAGCTTCGTCTTCGCAGATGCACATGATGTATTCCAAGGGCCTATCGCGTTGCAAGCGCCAGTCCCTTTGTAACAACGTTCTGCGGCCCCTGTCTTTAAGCTGATGCTAGAGAGGCTGCTCATACCTCACTGGCATATCCATGTCGTATTTGGAAAGGGGTACGAATCCCGCTAGTGATCGTCTACACCCGCAGATATTACGAAAAGTTTGAATACAGGACTTTTCGGTTCCAAATAATTTCGTCAATAACACTGGTGAAGCTATGGATTCAATACCTATTAAATCCCGTACAAGGGGCCCGCATCTTCCGAATATATATTCCGGAATCTACTCATACATTAAAGTTATCTTACAGCAGCGATATTCACATCTTCCTCCACGCCAATTGCACTTCCTTCAAGTTCCAAGTTAAAACCGGTATGACATCAACAGCAATTAGCACAATGGACAGTAAAGGAGAAAAATTCTTGGGACTTCCACATATCGAGATACACGAAAGTTTTCTGAGTGAAACTTTTGGTAATGGACAAGCGTATCAAGAGGTTCAAGAGTGGCCTTATGCGTTCAAAAATACAGTACAAGAACTCGCATCTGTTGAAATTTCATGTCCCGGGTCTAATACAGCGCATGATACAGCCGATAGAAGCGGTACTTCTAATCGAGAAAAGGAGATCTACGAGCGGCACGCAGCGTCTGCGAGGTACTTCACTCGCCAGCTTTTAAATTCATTCTGTCAAGAGCACAGCGATGCGATGAGTAGCAGAAAGCTCCCCTGTAGCACCGTTAAGTGTGACTTTCAGAGCGATAATCCCAAACATAGTCGAGGACTAGAGCGAAAATTTAGTCGCTGGAAAAATGGAAAGAAAATATCTATGAAACGCGTTTGGGCACAACTGAAGGAACTTTCAACCAACTTGCTGGAGGCGAACGAAGTAAGGGATTCAGTCTACGTAGAAACTAGACTATTTGGAAGCCAGCTTGAGGTTCTCGAGCCTATGCTGTCTAAGCCTTCAAAAAATGCAGTCCACTACTAGCGTAATCCCAAGCTGGAGCGAAAGACCAGCCTCCAAGATAACCTATAATGAAGAGAAGCTATTTCAGGACTAATTTAGTCTTAAGGCAATGACCACTGGATTGGTCATCCTCGAACAAGCTTCTACTCTATTAATTATTCAGTCCTTCCGGAAAAGGGATCAAAATCCATCACTCACAACTAGTAACTTGATGCTAGGAGCAATGAGAAATGCAAAATCAGCAACATTTAAAGATGTCAGCCGCGCTATTCTCATCACTGATACAAGGCTCAAAAATATATCATGAAGATGCACTCCGAAGAAGAGGGCAGGAGTCACACTACAAGTCGATAAACTTTGGCGCTAGATTGAAATCAGTTCCATCTGAGCCCTCCACACTATGCAAAAAAGTAACAGAGTTGATCTGACTACCAATATAAGATATCCAGTATTCTAAAGAAGAAAAACTGGACTCTTGTCTCAGGGCTGTTAACAACGTAATTTTAAATTGATAATGTCAAAGAAATTTGGACGATAAAAAATGCCAAAGGCTTCTGACGACTGAGGCAAATTATTTGGCGGTCAAAATAATATTGTCAAATTACATACAGTCAGAAAAAATTCTGCAATAGGCGATCTAAGCAAGTTAGTAAACCTAGCCACCTAAGTACTGTAAAATTACTGACTCTATAGACTTGTACACATCAGAAAAAACTCATGATACTGCATTTATGTATGATCTGGATGAAGGCCAACTGTACTAAACTTCATTCTTCAGGAACCAATGGATTTGTTCAAGTTATAACATAAATAGCTTGGCCTGGACGTCTCAGAAGTGGGTACGCAATCCAACAAAGAAATTCAAAGTTCTGCACAACCATGGGCTCTCGCTCCTCAACGGATTTCGCTGAATTTAGAGCAATGTCACGTGACTATTCGAAAAATATGAAAAGTCAGTTCATGTCTCAGCTGACATATTCGAACATTTTCGGAATTTAGGAATGAATCTAGTATATGGGTAGATTTTAACCTTAGAATTTCCAGAGTGAACTTTAGACATCTGAAATTGGGTGAAGTATAACCTAAGACTGGTAGAAAACAATAAGTGAAGTTGGATTAAGAGTTAAATACTTGGGCCAGAGCGTTAGCAGTAAACGACGCTGGTAAAATACTATAAGCCTTCAAATAACGAATGTAAAAAGCGGTTTTATCTGAAGGATGTTATATAACACTCGTGGCACAAAATCCATGCTGTTAGAATGGACTATTATGAAATACCATTTATCCCCTGGGTTATGAAAAGTAGGTGTAGTATCTTGGCTTAATTATATCTAGAACCTGCCTCGATAAATTTGTATGAGTTTGTCTAGCATCTACGATTATTGTAGTTAAACTTAATCCCAAAATTATGCCCAATGATGACGTCTAGGCAAATAAAATAACGGGCAGAAGTCATCTAAGCGGGTTCGAATTCAAACAAACAGTTATACTGATAGGAAATCAAACTCAACGAGACTCGAGTAAGTTTCCGGAAAGGCAAGGTGTGGAGAGCCAATCTTCACGGAACAGGTCTATGATCTTCGACGAGTATTCATCTTAAGCAAAAATCCGAGTTAATGTCCAATGCTTGAGTATTGTCGATTTGAGATTTTGAAAATAGTTGTCAAGAATCTTTTACGAGACTTTAAAACTCACACTAAGCACTAAAGCCTAGCATAGCTGTTAGGGAATTCTGTCATAATCAAAAACTTGGGAACTTGAGGCTTGCGCAACACTGATCCCCGGCTCCCGGTAAATTTGTATGGTTAAACAGCAGGTCAGTTTTCCCATGTAAAACTAACTCCATGAAGTGGTATTCAATAGCACCGAAAGATGGAAACGAAGAGTTTAAAAATCAAAGAACATCAACTCGGCTCTTCTGTTCATGTAAGGAGAAGTCGGTGGCCCCAAGTGAAGCATTCTACCAAAAGCAACACAGATTTGAAGGTGATTTTGTCAAAGATGGGTTGTGATAGGTAGTTGTTGGATAGATTGCCTACAGTCTGTGCTATTCAGAACAGATATCTTCATAACGGAAGCACCAATTCTCTCTTTAATAATGGGGCTCGTCTGGAGGACAGCTACTAGTCTTTGGAATAGAAGGATCATGGATAGTAATAAGGCATTGGATGTAGTGGCAGTTTTGTTCTCCAGCTTATAAATTGCCTATTGACACAAGCCCGAGCTTCATCTACAAAAACTCTTCCATGGGCCACAGTGACAACATCCCCGGCAACTGCGAACTGAGCTCTGGAAGAATCCGAAATACACGACGGTCTCATCATAAAAGAGCAGCTACTAAAACAATATGCTACGGCTTTGATCGCCCAATGCAGGGAAAGAAATTGTCAAGGGGAACTATGCCACCTACTCATGTAAACTAAGCTAGTCAGGTCACATGACCTGGCTATCAGCACAAAGACTTCATCTGTAGCATTAGAGCTCTCAAGTCAACATTTACAACGTAATACCGTGGCCCACGTATCTTTCTTAAGAGAAATGAAGGCAGGATATATTCAGGAAATTATATTGTAAACTTGGGCACAGCCAAAGGACGAATATGTGCCTCGGTAGGCTAGTTGGTGTTGTATACAACGAATTCCAGGTTGAAATCAGGTAATAAATGAAACTTAAAGTAATCTACTTTCAGTAAGCGTATCTAGGCTGCACCTGTAGTCCCTACGGTTAGCTAGGCCCCAAATTCCATTCTTGCCGTGCTGGCGCAGACAGTCCGAATCCAGGGGAATAATCCCGTCACATCCTGTCAGACACTGAGGGTCGAATGAAAAATCCAAAGTAAAAGCATGTTGGTGAAACCTGCTCCTCGGCTCCTCTCCGGCCTTGGTGCTTTATACCCATCTAAAACTCTTTGCGAAAGGGAATATCTTCTCTCAGTTTCCCAAAGTTACATCATGAGCTCAATTACATGTGTTATAGATCAAAACATCTCAAATTTGTGCTTTAAACATCCCGAACAGCATATTCTTCGTGAGATCTTAAAGCTCGAGAGAGTTGATCCGAGAGGATGTGTCAATCCAATACCCAATGATCTCATTCCTAGATCCACTAGCTCCCAAACTATCAGTTGCTTGACACATCCAGATGCATGAACCAAGGTGCAAGTGGCACTTCAACCAGTGGCCTGGATTCGAAGGCTGGGTCAAGCCCATTGGCGCCATTGCGAGTTGCCGCTCCTCGGGGGGTGATGGTTGAATGAGGTTGTTGTCTGTTCAGCCTACAAAAGCTTCAGCACCGACTGAGGTGCTCCTTGACCAGAAAAAGTGCCGTCTTGAGTAGTGCACGTTGACGACGCCAGTAAGACGAAGTAGCTGTTTGGAAGAGAGTGTGGAAGAAGCGAAGTTATAGTGCTTCCCCCGATGGAGAGCGTGGCCTGCGTTGTGAATGCGCGACATCCGCACAGCCTTGCCAGCAGGTGGTCGGAGGCGGAGAGTGAGTATATCAACAGAGAAGCTCGAATCCCGGCCCCTTTTCGAATAGAGAAGATAGCTCTGGGTCTAATAGCTGACTCGTTATTGGTGGGGGAAAACCCTCGCACAAGGGGTCATGTATTATAGTCGGACTAGCAGGTGACGAAAGATGTAAGACTCTCAGATTACAATGACATCTGCCAACACCGTGAAGGCTTCTCGGAGGCTAGCATAACGTATAACCGTGATTTAGATCGTATTAAAGTTCTAGGGGGTATCTGGAATGATAGAAGTGAACGTTGACCGTCAAGTCAATACTGTACAAATCGTAAGATATTGGGGATTTAAGGATCAGTGATAAAAGGTTTGGATCAGTGAGGTTTTGGTTTTACTGAACTTATATTTCGGTAGTTAAAAGTATTTTTGGTTTAATCTACATCTAATTGTCTATCTATGTTCTACTTCGCTTAGGTAGAAACATTGTGTTCTAATTACGTGCTGGAATAACATTCACACCACAAATCATTACCAACCGAGACCTCATCAAAGCTGGTAGCGATCGAAGATGAGTAGTCTTCGTCTACTCCGCACTGCATGCAGTTCGGTCAGGCATGTCTAGATTTCAACATCCCTCCTCACTTTGTGCCAAATATACAGGTACATAAGTGTTTGAGTCTCGGTCCAGGAACTCTTTTCGTACATATGTCAACGAGATTATTTTCTAATGCAACATTTAGTAGCGTAAGTGGGTCATCTTCTATCTTCTCTCTCGTAAAATGGCAGGCAATGTCAATGTGTTTAGAAGCGTCGTTTAGCTTTGGATTCTGAGCGAGATCGATAGCGGCATTGTTATCGGTTGATAGAGCTGCAGGAATATTTTCATTAACAAATTGATGTAGTCCACGTAAAAGCCAGATGAAGTGTTTAGTCGCAAGAGTTAGTGCCATATACTCAGCTTCGCAAGTGGAGTGAGCGACAGTACTTTGTTTGCGAGAGCGCCAGCAGATAGTAGAGCTACCAAGTTGAAAAATATATCCAGAAAAGCTTCTTCGAGTGTCAAGACAATTTCCGTACGATGCGTCACAAATCCATTAAGTACCAAGTTAGAATCAAACCTATAGAGAAGCTTTTGATCCTTTGTTCCTTTAAGATATCGTAAAACGCGCTTTGCTGCATTATAATGAGAAGTAGAGGGATTCGAACTAAATTGTGAGAGGTGTGTTATTGTGTATGCAAGGTCAGGTCTAGTCCCAGTGACTAAATACATGATAGATCCAATGATTTGCTGATACAGAGTAGCATTGACCCTAGTGTTGCCAATTGTAGCCATAAGCTGGTGGTTTTGCTCAATGGAAGTGGTCACTGGGTTGCAATCTTGCATACAAAATCGTGTGAGGACTCTCCCAATGTATGAAGATTGAGAAAGAGTGATACCTGGATTATTATATTCAATTTGAATTCCAAGGAGCCAATTAAGAAGTCCCATATCGTTAACATCAAACTCTGATTTAAGCTTGTTAACTGTGTTTTCCATCAAATTACCTTGTTCTCCAA